CATGGTATGTTCTTCCATTTGTTTGTGTCCTCTTTGATTTCACTGAGCAGTGGTTTGTAGTTCTCCTTGAAGAGGTCCTTTACATCCCTTGTAAGTTGGATTCCTAGGTATTTGATTCTCTTTGAAGCAATTGTGAATGGAAGTTCATTCCTGATTTGGCTCTCTGTTTGTCTGTTACTGGTGTATAAGAATGCTTGTGATTTTTGCACATTAATTTTGTATCCTGAGACTTTGCTGAAGTTGCTTATCAGCTTAAGGAGATTTTGGGCTGAGACAATGGGGTTTTCTAAATATACAATCATGTCATCTGCAAACAGGGACAATTTGACTTCTTCTTTTCCTAACTGAATACCCTTGATTTCTTTCTCTTGCCTGATTGCCCTAGCCAGAACTTCCAACACTATGTTGAATAGGAGTGGTGAGAGAGGGCATCCCTGTCTTGTGCCAGTTTTCAAAGGGAATTTTTCCAGTTTTTGCCCATTCAGTATGATATTGGCTGTGGGTTTGTCATAAATAGCTCTTATTATTTTGAGGTACGTTCCATCAATACCGAATTTATTGAGCGTTTTTAGCATGAAGGGCTGTTGAATTTTGTCAAAAGCCTTTTCTGCATCAATTGAGATAATCATGTGGTTCTTGTCTTTGGTTCTGTTTATATGCTGGATTATGTTTATTGATTTGCGAATGTTGAACCAGCCTTGCATCCCAGGGATGAAGCCCACTTGATCATGGTGGATAAGCTTTTTGATGTGTTGCTGAATCCGGTTTGCCAGTATTTTATTGAGGATTTTTGCATCGATGTTCATCAGGGATATTGGTCTAAAATTCTCTTTTTTTGTTGTGTCTCTGCCAGGCTTTGGTATCAGGATGATGTTGGCCTCATAAAATGAGTTAGGGAGGATTCCCTCTTTTTCTATTGATTGGAATAGTTTCAGAAGGAATGGTACCAACTCCTCTTTGTACCTCTGGTAGAATTCAGCTGTGAATCCATCTGGTCCTGGACTTTTTTTGGTTGGTAGGCTATTAATTGTTGCCTCAATTTCAGAGCCTGCTATTGGTCTATTCAGGGATTCAACTTCTTCCTGGTTTAGTCTTGGAAGAGTGTAAGTGTCCAGGAAATTATCCATTTCTTCTAGATTTTCCAGTTTATTTGCATAGAGGTGTTTATAGTATTCTCTGATGGTAGTTTGTATTTCTGTGGGGTCGGTGGTGATATCCCCTTGATCATTTTTAATTGCGTCGATTTGATTCTTCTCTCTTTTCTTCTTTATTAGTCTGGCTAGTGGTCTGTCAATTTTGTTGATCTTTTCAAAAAACCAACTCCTGGATTCATTGATTTTTTGGAGGGTTTTTTGTGTTTCTATCTCCTTCAGTTCTGCTCTGATCTTAGTTATTTCTTGCCTTCTGCTAGCTTTCGAATGTGTTTGCTCTTGCTTCTCTAGTTCTTTTAATTGCGATGTTAGAGTGTCAATTTTACATCTTTCCTGCTTTCTCTTGTGGGCATTTAGTGCTATAAATTTCCCTCTACACACTGCTTTAAATGTGTCCCAGAGATTCTGGTATGTTGTATCTTTGTTCTCATTGGTTTCAAAGAACATCTTTATTTCTGCCTTCATTTCGTTATGTACCCAGTAGTCATTCAGGAGCAGGTTGTTCAGTTTCCATGTAGTTGAGCGGTTTTGATTGAGTTTCTTAGTCCTGAGTTCTAGTTTGATTGCACTGTGGTCTGAGAGACAGTTTGTTATAATTTCTGTTCTTGTACATTTGCTGAGGAGTGCTTTACTTCCAATTACGTGGTCAATTTTGGAGTAAGTATGATGTGGTGCTGAGAAGAATGTATATTCTGTTGATTTGGGGTGGAGAGTTCTATAGATGTCTATTAGGTCTGCTTGCTGCAGAGATGAGTTCAATTCCTGGATATCCTTGTTAACTTTCTGTCTCGTTGATCTGTCTAATGTTGACAGTGGAGTGTTGAAGTCTCCCATTATTATTGTATGGGAGTCTAAGTCTCTTTGTAAGTCTCTAAGGACTTGCTTTATGAATCTGGGTGCTCCTGTATTGGGTGCATATATATTTAGGATAGTTAGCTCTTCCTGTTGAATTGATCCCTTTACCATTATGTAATGGCCTTCTTTGTCTCTTTTGATCTTTGATGGTTTAAAGTCTGTTTTATCAGAGACTAGTATTGCAACCCCTGCTTTTTTGTGTTTCCATTTGCTTGGTAAATCTTCCTCCATCCCTTTATTTTGAGCCTATGTATGTCTCTGCGTGTGAGATGGGTCTCCTGAATACAGCAGACTGATGGGTCTTGACTCTTTATCCAGTTTGCCAGTCTGTGTCTTTTAATTGGAGCATTTAGTCCATTTACATTTAAGGTTAATATTGTTATGTGTGAACTTGATCCTGCCATTATGATATTAACTGGTTATTTTGCTCATTAGTTGATGCAGTTTCTTCCTAGCCTCAATGGTCTTTACATTTTGGCATGTTTTTGCAATGGCTGGTACCGGTTGTTCCTTTCCATGTTTAGTGCTTCCTTCAGGATCTCTTGTAAGGCAGGCCTAGTGGTGACAAAATCTCTAAGCATTTGCTTATCTGTAAAGGATTTTATTTCTCCTTCACTTATGAAACTTAGTTTGGCTGGATATGAAATTCTGGGTTTAAAATTCTTTTCTTTAAGAATGTTGAATATTGGCCCCCACTCTCTTCTGGCTTGGAGAGTTTCTGCTGAGAGATCTGCTGTTAGTCTGATGGGCTTCCCTTTGTGGGTAACCCGACCTTTCTCTCTGGCTGCCCTTAAGATTTTTTCCTTCATTTCAACTTTGGTGAATCTGGCAATTATGTGTCTTGGAGTTGCTCTTCTCGAGGAGTATCTTTGTGGCGTTCTCTGTATTTCCTGGATTTGAATGTTGGCCTGCCCTACTAGGTTGGGGAAGTTCTCCTGGATGATATCCTGAAGAGTGTTTTCCAACTTGGTTCCATTTTCCCCCTCACTTTCAGGCACCCCAATCAGACGTAGATTTGGTCTTTTTACATAATCCCATACTTCTTGCAGGCTTTGTTCATTTCTTTTTCTTCTTTTTCTTTTGGTTTCTCTTCTCGCTTCATTTCATTCATTTGATCCTCAATCGCTGATACTCTTTCTTCCAGTTGATCGAGTCGGTTACTGAAGCTTGTGCATTTGTCACGTATTTCTCGTGTCATGGTTTTCATCTCTTTCATTTCGTTTAGGACCTTCTCTGCATTAATTACTCTAGCCATCAATTCTTCCACTTTTTTTTCAAGATTTTTAGTTTCTTTGCGCTGGGTACGTAATTCCTCCTTTAGCTCTGAGAAATTTGATGGACTGAAGCCTTCTTCTCTCATCTCGTCAAAGTCATTCTCCGTCCAGCTTTGATCCGTTGCTGGCGATGAGCTGCGCTCCTTTGCCGGGGGAGATGCGCTCTTATTTTTTGAATTTCCAGCTTTTCTGCCCTGCTTTTTCCCCATCTTTGTGGTTTTATCTGCCTCTGGTCTTTGATGATGGTGATGTACTGATGGGGTTTTGGTGTAGGTGTCCTTCCTGTTTGATAGTTTTCCTTCTAACAGTCAGGACCCTCAGCTGTAGGTCTGTTGGAGATTGCTTGAGGTCCACTCCAGACCCTGTTTGCCTGGGTATCAGCAGCAGAGGCTGCAGAAGATAGAATATTTCTGAACAGCGAGTGTACCTGTCTGATTCTTGCTTTGGAAGCTTCCTCTCAGGGGTGTACTCCTCCCCGTGAGGTGTGGGGTGTCAGACTGCCCCTAGTGGGGGATGTCTCCCAGTTAGGCTACTCAGGGGTCAGGGACCCGCTTGAGCAGGGAGTCTGTCCCTTTTCAGATCTCAACCTCCGTGTTGGGAGATCCACTGCTCTCTTCAAAGCTGTCAGACAGAGTCGTTTGCGTCTGTGCAGAGGTGTCTGTGTGTCTTAGTTTACTGTGCCCTGTCCCCAGAGGTGGAGTCTACAGAGACAGGCAGGTTTCCTTGAGCTGCTGTGAGCTCCACCCAGTTGGAGCTTCCCAGCAGCTTTGTTTACCTACTTAAGCCTCAGCAATGGCGGGCGCCCCTCCCCCAGCCTCGCTGCTGCCTTGCCGGTAGATCACAGACTGCTGCGCTAGCAACGAGGGAGGCTCCGTGGGTGTGGGACCCTCCCGGCCAGGTGTGGGATATGATCTCCTGGTGTGCCTGTTTCCTAAAGCGCAGTATTGGGGTGGGAGTTACCCGATTTTCCAGGTGTTGTGTGTCTCAGTTCCCCTGGCTAGGAAAAGGGACTCCCTTCCCCCTTGCGCTTCCCAGGTGAGGCAATGCCTCGCCCTGCTTCAGCTCTCGCTGGTCGGGCTGCAGCAGCTGACCAGCTCCGATCGTCCGGCACTCCCCAGTGAGATGAACCCAGTACCTCAGTTGAAAATGCAGAAATGACCGGTCTTCTGTGTCGCTGGCGCTGGGAGTTGGAGACTGGAGCTGCTCCTATTCGGCCATCTTGCTCCGCCCCCCCATAAGATATTCTTTAAGAGATTATTTGAATCAAGACAGTAACATAGCATTTCAAAGATAAGCTACTTTGTTTAAATCTTTGGAGTTTAATTCATTAAAATAAAAGTAAGTTAAATTCCTTTTATAATAATACTGTAAATTTGCTGAGGAGTTACTGTGCTCGTATTAAAATTGTGTGTGTGTGCACGCGCGTGTGTGTTATAAAGTGCAGCCCTCTGATCAATGCTCACTTTCCCTCCCATTTTCCTAAATACATCATGAAAAAAGGATGAGGTTTCCGCCTTAATTGCTTGTGCCTTTTATTCACATTCCTCTCTCAGCCAGAATTGTGAAAAGAGTGTTAGTAAAAGGCTGCACAATAGAGCTTTTCATTAGGCCTCAGCAAGGCACACAAAAGAAGGCTTTTGGAAAGAGTGAATGCATGAGTTTAATTTGCAGGTGGAGAGTAGATAAAAGGTGCTGACGCCTCTATTATTCTCTTACTTAGGTGACCCTTACCCTGTTCAGCTGATCCCAACTACCATGGCAGCTGCTGCCGCAGCAACACCAGGCTTAGGCCCACTCCAACTGCAGGTAAGTCAGGAAACAATACAGAGGAGACAAAGGTTAAGTAAATATCGAAAACAGCTATTATGGTGTTAAAGCAAAATAAAACTGACTCGTGATATTTGTCTCACACTTTCTGTTTTTAAATTTATTTGTACTGATCCTCAACCAAAAGTTGAAATGTTGATTCTCTTAATTTTTAGCCCTGTTTTCTGCACTAAACATAGCTTATTGCATTTCTTTTCTTGCCTGTATGATTAAGAAAGTGAGCTGTAGTTTTGCTTTGACGACCATGTGCCATAATCTTGTCACAGAATGGTCCTTATCAAGGTAAAAAGAACAAAGCAACCTGCAAAAGGTATTCAGACACTTGAGGAGCAAGGCGACTTAACAAAAATGCATTTAAAATTGCTCAGGATGCCCGGTATCATTGAAATGGTCTGTAGGTCTCTTTGTTCTCCTGCTAATGCCAGCTCAGTTGGGCAAGCAAGGAAAAGTAGACCAAATAAGCTGGAGACTAAATAAGCACAACTGTATCCCAGTCATCACAATTAGGACTTTTCTAGCCATGCGGAATACATATTCCTATAATCCGAGAATGTCAACGATAATTTTACCAGATGTCCAAGTGATATGAGAAGCTTTGTCTCTGAGGTTGAAAAGAAAATCAATACAATTAGTGTAACAGGTAGCTTTGATTAACTGTTGACATTTTTGAATCAGCATCCCACAAAACATTCCTTAGTTTCTATCGCTATGGACCTTGTGATTATGCAAGTAATGGGAATAGAAAATCATCTCATAATAGGATTACTCTCCTCTTGTGAGAAGTTTCATATGTTCGTTAGCCTGAAAGACACAGTATGCCTAAGAAGTCAGAGATAAAGCAGTTATACTTAATAATTAATTTTTCCTCGTGAAAAGGTATTGTCATGATAGATGATCTTAGTCTATAAGGAAAATATAGTTTTATATTGTAGCATCAAGAGACAGATACATCTGGCCTGCACATGGGTTTATCAGAAGACCTGGTGGGTTTCTGAAAGGCCAGTTGAGTTTCACAGGAGGAACTACCAGTGTGAAAGCTGAGACATACTGTGTTCTACAGAGGTTAATAACATTCATTTCTATTCTACCTTTTCTGCGAAGAACTACACTGTGAATATCTGTTTTCTTTGAGCTGGAAATGCCTTGGGAAGTGTTGGAGCCATGGGGACAATAAAAGTAACATAACATTTGTTACCCTTTGAAATGGCATCTGGGGAATAACTATAACACGAAAAAGTGATTGTAATAGGTAAAACAAAAAAGAGTAGTGGAATTAGCAAGAGGGAATAATATCCAGCAATAGATTAAATATAGGAATAGGGGTTTTAGAGATTTCAGATGTTGGTTTTCAAAGCAAGTTAGACATTCTCCTTTGACCGTTGGATTAGTGACGAGAGGAAGTGAGAGCAAATTAGAGGCAACTCCTATGTTCATTGCAGGACTCTCTTCGAAAGTAGCTATGTTAAGCAACAATCTAATCAACTTTTCCTATAGAGACAGTATGAGACTATTTGATGCTGATTTTTATTTTTATTCTTATATTTGAGATTATCTTGAGATATTAAAATATAAACAGTTTTGTCACTGAACAAGAGAAACTTTAGACACCAAACATATCTGCTGTTACTTTACCTATGATTTGATATGTAAACGGGGTAAAGTTCCTTTCATACAAGTGGTATTGTACCCATTAAAATGCATGAGTTGTATAGCCCCAAATAATCAATACTGTAGTATAACAAGAAAAGTAATAATCCAAAAGTTTTTCATGGAAAGCCATCAGCTACTATTAAAACACATTCACATAAACATACAAAAACACGAGTTGTTTGTTTGTTTGTTTGTTTGTTTGTTGCAGTGAGAAAATAACTGTTATTCAGAATCAAACACATGACTAAAACATGTCGTGTCAGAGAACCTGGCTTTTCTTTGAAGTGGACTGACTCTCACTTTTGCTAGGGTGCTTACACCAACTCACTTTTCTGCTTGTTCCTAACACAGTATTCACAGACCCCTTGACCTTGACTTCAGCCTTCCCCAGAGCTATAAAAAGGATATCTGTTACTCTCCCTCCCCTTGCCTTAAAATAGCATCCAAATTCTTTTTTTCTCCACAAACCTGCCGAGATGGGTGACAGAAAAGCTAACTATAATGCCGAGTCAGATGTTTCATTATAAGCCTTACCTAAAATTCACCCCAGTCTTTGAAACCTATTTTTGAGATGTTTCATCTCAGTGGAGTATAATATATGGGTCAGTTTTAATTTTCTCCAAAATCTGCTTTTAATTATGCTCTGTTAAATCTCTATTTTCCATCTCTTAATACCTTGAGTAGACTGCATCACTTTCCAGTCCTTTCAGTTATTAAAATTCAGTCCTGATGGAAACTTTAATCTTATATCCACTTCATATCTCACTGTTTCACCTTCCATCGTTAGTTAAGAATCCCAGCTCTAGAGACCAGAAGTAAGAAGGGTGCAGCTTACTCTTTTGTTCTTCAGCTCCAATTTTGTTCCTGTGCAGATGTGGGTTTAGGAAGGTATGTCTGCCCTGAGATACCGTGGAGACGGTGTGTGTGTTATTTTCTTGTGTATTGAACAGCTTTTCTTGGTCTGTTAAGAGAGGGGAAGCCAGGTCTGTTGATCTATGCTTCCTGCCCTTTTTTTTTTATTTGGGATGTCACCACTACTGGCCAGGAGCTACATGGGTAGCATGACACCTGCCTTTGTTCACCCTCTGTGCTGCTCCATGGAGAACCCTGTAGTCTTCTGCTGAGGTCCTCTTCTGTGCCCTGTTAGAGCTGTGGTGGTAGCACATCGCAGTCCTCATCTCAGCCTGCAGCAAACACCACACTGTTTCCCAGCAACACACCTCCAGCTTTAGATAACTTCAGTAGAGAAAACAGGCATTACTGTGTCTTTAGTTACATAATACACCACCAAGCTGTACACTGTCCAGTTCTCCTAAGACCTTTCTACGGATGGAGGAGTCTTTAGGTTTTTAGCTCAACGAAAAACCCGTTGAGGAACAACGTTCAAGTTTTTGCTTTATTCTGGCTTCTCCAGTTTCTACGAATTCTGCTTTTTGGGTAAGCAGGGAAGACCACTAAGAACCAAGCCACCCTGTAAAGCTGTTAACCAAGTCTTCTCTCTCCTCAGCTCCCTCACCAGACATGAGCTCATATGTATTGTGGGAATGGAAAGATGGGGTGAGAAGAATGAGAGAGGTGAGATACAGTCATGAACATTGACTGAAGTAGGGCCAGGACAGCAAGGTTTCAATAAGGGGAGTATGATTGGTGGTGTGGGTGCTGTCTAGTACCAATTGTTGGTGTCTTTCTTTAGAACCATTGAAGAGTTTGTTGTTGTTGGCTTGTTCTTACTCGTTTTCTATTTTTGTTTAATCTGTTCGTGTATGTTTTAAGTAGGTAGTGATAAACTCACAGCTATACTTGATAAGGCAGCAGTAAGATGGGTTGAGGTAACAGCAGGAAGACCATTTGGAGTAACAACTGAAATAGCCTTGTCAAAGAACTAGTGGTTTTATTCAATGGTAATGTGGAGGGGATATATATTTTAAACACAAAATGATGCTGTCATATATATTTTAAATACAAAAGGATGCTGTTTTCTTTTCCTTGGGTCCAAACCTAATGATTTTAACGCATGTAAAGTGCCATAACAACTGATGTCACTAGTTTATATGACCCATGGTTATGGAATATTTTCTTAAGCTAGTTTCTCTGGCAAAGATTTTCCAAAGATTATCTTATTTAATTCATATTACAAGATTTTGTGTTATGTATTAATATCTCCATTTGGCAAAGAAGAAAGCTGAGTCACAGAGTCCAAAATCCATGGCTTTAAACAATTATATTTGCTTCTTCAAGTACAGGAGACTTTATGTTAATCTTTGGAGACATTGGCCCTCTTCAGACATTTGTTAACTCATAACCAGCTAATGAAATTATAACAATAATGCTGACTGACATTAATACAAATACTCTCTGTGCTTTGCAATAATGAAAGAAGTAGCAGGATTCGTAATGACAGCTATCTACTTCAGACTCTGAATTTTCTATTTGATACCTCCTTACATGGATACATGTTAATTCAAGTACTTCTTTTTGAACACCTAGATTAAATAAGGGACATTATAAATCTATTCCTACTTATGGTTGACTTTACTTACCTACCATATGTGTTTTCATTTGAAATAACCTTTTGCATATAATTGTTCACACTTGGATAATATTATGATAAGCAAATCCAAAATTTTTATTAAAGAGTGCAGACAAGTACAATTATTTTAAAAGACAAGCAAAATGATATGCTTTAAAGGAAACTACTGTTTATTACTTAACTATTATTTTATGTCCCTGGAGATCCTTATATAATAAAAAATTCTTCATGTAGAAACATCACCTTACTGTGTACTTTCAGAAGCAGTTAAAATATTCTAAAAATCTTAATATATATTTATTTTTATGGAGAAAGTCAGCTTAATCTAGATCATGTATATAAATAATACAAATTAGCATGTACCATAGACACAATTTATTATTTTAATATTAAATCTGTCTTTTTCTTTATGCATTTTAAATCTTCCTTGAGCTTCAAATTCGCATAAGCCCACTGCTTGTTGACTATGAAGAGGAAATATACAGAAATTTACAGACACTGTAAACTGAGTCCAAAACGGAACTCATCAGGGGTTGTCTGCCTTGTCCCTAGACTTCCTTATTCTTTGATCTTAGTGAATGACTCCATTTCATCTATTTTTCAACCCAGAAACATGAGAGCTCTTCTTAGCTTCTCTTCCTCCCTCTTCCCCATACATTTATTCATTCACTAGCTTTTCATTCCACGTACTAATAAACCAAGAATCTATCAATTTTCTTCCATCATAATTGTCACTCATTTGGGTTGAGCTATCCTTACTACGTTCCTGATTCACCACAGCAGCCCCTAAACTGGTCTT